TGACTGTCCAAAGTTTTTTCCGTAAAATTAACAGTAAATACCACATCACCTGAATTTAATTCACAGTAGTATACCAAAGACTACTGGAGAGAGAGGTATAAAAACCTGATGGCTGGAGAAAAGAAGGAAGAGAGAAGGTTGTGCCCTTCCTAACCTCTGATACTTTCTACCGGGAGAAGACAGAGGAGTTTGGATAGCTCAAAGCTGGCAGCCTCCACCAGCAAAGGCCTCTGTGACCCAGAGCTCTCCCCACCTCCCCTCTGACTGCTGGAATCCAAAGGCTGTGGGCAGGCCTGCTCTGGGGCCAGCCAACCTTCTAGCCTGAGTCTAGAGAAGCGCCCCCCCACCTTGACATAGAGGCCCCCACTTCGTCTGCTGCATCCCCCAGGACAAGAGGGGAGGGGAGGGAGCTCACGTCTGGAGGCGGCCAGCTTCCTGGGGAAGGCGGAGGCAAGCTGCTCTGTGGAGAAGTGGGTGGGTGGCCTTTCCCAATTTTCATCTCCGTCCTTTTTGTCACCTGTGCTGAAAGCATTAGCCTGGGAGTGATCAGAGCTCCTCAATTCCACAGAAATAGCTTGGCCTCCCTGCACAGCCAAGGTGGTACAGCCCCACCCCTCCCTGTCCCCCCATCACACCTCCTGTGCCAGCTGAGAACCACCATCTTCTGAGACCTCTGCTGGGGGTGCCCCTCTCCTCCACCTTCACAAACCCATTCCCCCCCATTCTCAGGGCCCTTATTAAATGCCACCTCCTCCAAGATGTTTCCTTGATTCCCTAGCTGGAAATAATGCTGACAACAGCTAACATGTATTGGGATTGGCCACGTGCCAGGCACAGAGCAAGCATTCTACATACATTATCTCGTTTCAGCCACAGATGGGAATTATGACTTGTTTCATCCCCATTTTACAGCTAAGAAAACTGAGTCTGCAAGAGGTTAGCAAATTTTCCCAAGGTCCTATGCTCCAACTGAAACATAGCTCGGCTTTAGAGCTCATAAGTTTACACACGACTTCCTCCCCTGAGTTATCCAAGGCATTTTATCTCTTTACAATTCCTTGCATTGTAGTTAATTAGGTAAATTCTTAAACCAGTTGTTTAAGAGCACAGTTTTGCTCTTTACTTTTATTTTTAACAAATAATATATGTAAGTAGTTAACAATGCCGAATACTGTGGTGTACTACCTGAGCTTCCTGGGAGAACCACCAGTCTTCAGCCCCAACTGTCCCCACTCCTGATCCCACTTTTCTGCGATTGCATGTCTCTTTATCTCTGTCCCTGGCCCCCAGTGGGTGATCAATACATGTTAGCTGTCAACCATCAAACAGATATTGAGTAACTAGTATGTGTCAGGTGCTGTGCTCCGTGAAGCTGTAGTTGCTGTCTTGGATAATCCCTCCCCTACCCAATCCCCAGACCCTGCTCTTACCTTCCCCCCAAACCCAAAATCTCGGGCCACCGCCAGGCCCCACCCAGGTACTGACATTCAGGTGAACCAAGAAAAACTTGACGTCTGCCCGTGTCTGGGTGTATAAATTAATTAGCATTAAGTTTGGCTGCACTTAGCAGAGACCCCAAATAACAGTGTCTTAACCAAGACAGAGGTTATGTCTCTCACACACTCAGTACAAGTTCAGAGGTAGGTGGCCCATGCATGTCATCTCGCCTGCAGCAAGTCCTCAGGGACCTGGCCCCCTCCAGCTCCCTACTCCAGTGTTCATACGGTAAGGCCCTCGTCCTCATGACCCAAGAAGCACCAGAATGCCAGCTGCCACAACCACAGTTCAGGCACCAGGATGGAGGAAGGGATGGAAAAGGGAGGGGCAGAAGCACACAGCACAAGAGCTGCCGCATCGCATTCTGCTTGTATTCAGCTGGCCAGAATTTAGTCGCATCGCCACACCAGCTGGGAAATATCGTATTTATTCTGAATGGCCACACCTCTATCTAACCCTGGATGTGCTACTAATTGCGAAGAGGCAATAGGTGCTGGAGACAATCACCAGCCTTTACTAAAGGGTTAATGTGTTGATATGTGTGTGTGTGCATATGATGCGTGAGCATGTGTGTTTCATGTTGTGTGTGCCTGTTGGCCAGGGTCTCCCCATCACTTTGATCTCAGACGGGCCTGTTACGAGTTCTCTCTGCAGCCCCCCCCAGGGAGCTCCCCTAACCCTGGCCTCTCCTCTTAGGCAGACTTACTCAGCAGCAGTTCCTCAATTCCACGTTTCAAGGAACTATGATTTATTTTCAGCGCCCACTGAAGCATGTTATCCGTGGTGATAGAGGGGGCTAGTAAAACTGTTTATCCACTCAGGTATTAAAGGGTGGCCATTATGTGAGAGTGACTATGACCAGAGTTAATCTGGTAATAAATTCTCTTGGGAAGGAGGGTGTCATTAACACACGAATCCTAGAAAAGTTTACCACTCTATCTTGTGCTGCAGGGGGAGGACCCAGAAATACCAGGCACCCTCTTGAGATGGCCCAGGCGAGGCGATGGGCCTAATGCTAGATTCAGGGTTGGCTACAGGTAGTGCTGCCAGAGCATTCCAAGCGCTGCTGAGTAACTACACAATTCAAAAAAAGCTGATATTTACTCCCCCTGCCCCCAACCCTCACCCTTACACACACACACACACACACACACACACACACACACAATGGGCAGGGGCTTTACAGGTTCATTTCAATTAACCTTTGAGCCAGGTGGTGTGATTCCCCATTCCATTTTACTGATGGGAACCGATGCTTTAGGGAATTAAATATCTTGCCCAGATACACACAGCTAATAAGGGCAGAGCCCACTGATGAAGCTTTGGGGCCTAACCACTGTGCTTCCACCTTTGCTAGGGTTTCATGGAATCACACTGAGGGGTTAGCACTATTTAACTCCATTCCTCAAACATTTGGTGGGCATGTTTACTCAGGGAATAAGGAGTTAATAGAAGCAGTATTAACTTTTTAGGAGAGAGAACAAGCACAAAAACATTTGACATGCCCCCTCCCGAATTACTTAGTATTTTTCATACATTGAAGCTGATACAGGGGTACAATCTCATAGCTTCATCCTAGAATAGAGCAGGGTATTTTTTCCCGAATGCCATGGTCTCAGGAGCTGCCCTTGGTTGGTCATTGGAGTGCCTTGTAATTTGGGCTTTCCCTTAAAGCTTGGAGAAACTGGTGGGGTAGGGTAGAAAGCGCCCAGCCTTTCTGGGTGAAGCAGCTTTGGCTGTGAATCCTGGCTTTGCCGCTTACTTGTTTGACTTTGGACAAGTTCGCGCGTCTTCTTGAGTCTCATTTTTCCCCTTCGGTAAAATTCAGATTAAAAAAAACAGGACTTCTCTGGTGGCACAGTGGTTGAGAATCTGCTCTGCCAATGCAGGGGACACGGGTTCGATCCCTGCTCCGGGAAGATTCCACATGCCGCGGGGCAACTAAGCCTGTGCACCACAACTACTGAAGGCCGCACACCTAGAGCCCGTGCTCCACAACAAAAGAAAGCCCGCGCACAGCAACGAAGACCCAACGCAGCCATAAAACAAATTAATTAATTTTTAAAAATACCTTTGATCAAGCATTATAATATAGAAACAGATTTTTTTTTTTTTTTTTTTTTTTTTTTTGCACTGTGCAGCCTGCAGGATCTTTGTTCCCCAACCAGGGATTGAACCTGGGCCACCACAGTGAAAGCACCGAGTCCTAACCACTGGACCACCAGGGAATTCCCAAGACTGCTTATTTCTATTATATTGCCAGAATATGAATCATACTAAATTGCCACCTATGGACAGAAAATGTGTTACCTGTTCTTATCAAGACCCAGATGAGGCAGAACACAAAAAGCAGAGATGAACTTTTTTGCCATCTCCAGGACCTTCGTGCTAACATTTACTTACTCTTGATCATTATTTCAGGCTCATCCACACATACTTAGCATGGATCATTGGCCACAGACTCATACCTTTAACCTGATTACCTTTTGCCTCATATATCTCATTAAAACTTTGCTGCTTAATCAAGGATCTGCATGCATATTATTGTTAGAATCCATGGTTCCATGACTTTGAAAGTTTCAGACATTCTGGGTGAACGTGTTATATACTTTTTCCTGCCTTCATGCCTTTGCACCGGCTGTTTTCTTGGCCACTTATGCAACCAGTTTATACTCTTCCTGATCCTTCCTTGGCCTTCAATACCCAGCTCAGGTGACACCTCTTCCAGGGAGCCCCCCTTTGTATTCCCACAAAATCTTGTCCTTCTTGCAGAGCTCTTTCTTCCTGCATTGGGATGGCGTGTTTACCTGTTTATCTCTCCTATTCAACTGTAAGCACTTTGAGAGTAGAGAACATCCGCTGTCCACTGTGGCATCCTTGGTGCCCAGCACTGCATCTGACGTATTATCAGACCTTCCATAAGTGCCGGTTGGATTCAGGCTCCCAGTGGGAGAGAAAGGAAGTAATAAAGCCAGTGATAAATGCCATCATGGAAATATGGCATGAGAGAGTTAATGGAGAGGACAGTAACACGATCTCTAATAATAGGGTAGTAATGGACCTCACAACACCTTTAAAGCTCTTTCACACACGTTATCTAATTTGATCCTCATAAAAGCCTGGTGATAGGTATATTGCAGGGGATGCAGGCAGGAGTTTTTAGCGGTTATAGGATACGCCTGAAGTCATGAAGCTAGTAAATGCCTGGATTCAAGCCATACCTTAAAAGCCCGTCCGTTTACTCATGCCCTGTCTTCCTGCTCTGCGGTCTACAGCACACCTCACCGTGGTTTCCTTGATGGGGCCATGCCTTTCCCCAAGGGAATGCATTTCATTACTGTATTTCTAGACAATGAATTGTCTTTGAGGAAATGATAACCACAAGCAGAAAGCAAATCTCGTTTTTAGCCGCATCTGAGAATGTGGTTGGTAACGTGACCTGTGGGTGTTCTCTGAGATCCCAGCGACATGCCACGTGTGGTTCCTTCTGTTTTCAGGCCCCAGAAGCACATCCCGGGAAGAAAAATGCGTTGTGGACCCCTGTGCCGATTCCTGTGGCTTTGGCCCTATCTGTCCTACATTGAAGCCGTGCCCATCCGAAAAGTCCAGGATGACACCAAAACCCTCATCAAGACGATTGTCACCAGGATCAATGACATATCACACACGGTAGGGAGGGCCTGGGAGACGAGGTAGAACCGTGGCTGGCCCGTGGGGAAACCGGACCTCAGAGGTTGGCTGAGGCCGTGCAGCCTCGCGCAAGGGGCCTGGCGGCCTGGACGCCTCCCTACCGCATGGACAGCTGCCTCTGCTCTCCTGATCTCCCCTTGCCTCCCACCTCCTCACTCCCCTTCCTCCCAGACTGGAATCCTAGTGCCCAGGACCAGAGCATAACGGTCCGGTGTCCCCTTGGCAGGTGACCAGAGCCCCAGGAGCATCCTCTCTGGGCCTCCAACACATCTCTAGAACGTTCTAATCATTAGGCATTCTTCCTGGCTGGTAGCTGAACGCTGACCCTGCGAAGCGTCTCCTCATTACTGCTGGTCCTGCCTATCAAGCCCTCTTTCACATACAACCCTCTACGTATTTGCAAACAGCTCTCAATGTCCCCTGGGTCTTTTCTCTGGGATTCACAAGCCTATACCTTCAGCCACTTCCCAGATGAGGTCGGTGTTTAGAATTAGGAAGGCTACGTGTGAATCCTCGCCCTTCTGTTCTCTAACCGTAAAATCTTAAGCTAGTTAAGCTCCTCAATGTCTTTAAACCCTGGTTTCCTCATCTAGATAATAGGACTACCTTAATAGTCTTCACAAGGTCGTTTCAAGATTAAATTAGATAAAGCTAGTGACCGCCCCCCCACACACACACCCCTCCTGCAGAACCAGAACAGAGCATGCCCTCTTCAAAGGTTTTCAGACGTGGCTTTTGATATCCCCCTGCCTTAAAAGCCAACTTGTCCACCTGCATGGAGCAATCCAGAGACTTCCACATCTCCTGGCCTCTCTGGATTTCTAACAGTAGCCTTGGGCAGCCAGGGAGCCGTTAGGTGGCCGGAAGCAGGGACAGCTCAGAACTAGATAGCGTCTTGAGCATTTCATAGGGAAAAACGCTTAAGTCTCCTTGCTTTCAAAATAGTCATTCAACAAGCTGCACATGATAGACCCCGAGTGTCCCAACAGGTGTGGTGCAGGCAGTGAACGCTGTGGGCAGCGGGGGAGGGGGAGAGCCCCTCCTGGTAACCAGAGTTATTGGAGTGGAGGAGTGAGACGGGACCTTGATCCCTAAGGGGGGGAGACTTCGTGGAGAACCTGTCTGGGAGGAAGGCATCCGCTGTGGGTGGAAGGGTTGGGGAGGGGCATGTATGGAGGACCTCAATGCCTGGGGAAGAGACTTAAGTCAGTAAGTAAGAAATAGGGAGTCATGGCTGGTTCTATAGCAGAGGCATCTGGAAGAGGAAACGGCCTGCTAAAGCTGGTCTGGCAGTGGAGGGCAGGGTGGTTTGGGAAGGGCAGGAAGACAGAAGCCCGGGAGACCAGCTTGGAGGCTTGGCAGCCACGTGGGCACAAGAAATAAGGGCCTAGGCAGGATGGTGTGGAAGGGGGAAAGGAGACACCTCCACGCTCGCGGGAAGGGCCAGGGGCTTTGCGGAGCTGACTTCTCTCCCCTGAGCTCTTGCTCTCCCCTTCCTCCTGCATAGCAGTCCGTCTCCTCCAAACAGAGGGTCACTGGTTTGGACTTCATCCCTGGGCTCACCCCTGTCCTGAGTTTGTCCAAGATGGACCAGACATTGGCGATCTACCAACAGATCCTCACCAGTCTGCCTTCCAGAAATGTGATCCAAATATCTAATGACCTGGAGAACCTCCGGGACCTTCTCCACCTGCTGGCCTCCTCCAAGAGCTGCCCCTTGCCCCAGGCCAGAGCCCTGGAGACCTTGGAGAGCCTGGGCGGCGTCCTGGAAGCGTCCCTCTACTCCACGGAGGTGGTGGCCCTGAGCAGGCTGCAGGGGTCTCTGCAGGACATGCTGCGGCAGCTGGACCTCAGCCCTGGGTGCTGAAGCCTTGAAAGTCTCTCTCCCCAAAGCTGAGGGAAGAAACCTGAGCTTCCAGGTGTCTGCAGGAGAAGAGAGCCTGTGTGGACATCCTTTATGCAGGCCTGCGGGTCATTTCTCTGTCACTCCTCTAAGCCGCTCTTCTTCCAAAGGCAGAAAACTCCAAGGCAGGAAACCAGAGATATAAATACATGGTTCCATGCCCACCGGGAAGGAGGGCCCATCCAGCAAACAGTGGACTAGGTCTGGGATTTTCACAGACGTCTTCCTCCCTGTTCCATCTCCCTCTCACTGCATGCTTCACCGTGACCCGGGGTGATTTTAGACCCTTTGCACGATCAAGCAAGATTCCCTCTGAAAATCCGGGGAGCATCGTGAAGGCTATAGGCACACACAGCTGGATACTCCCACGAAACACAAGTTGGAAGCATTTATTTATTTATTATGCATTTTATTCTGGATGGATTTGAAGCCAAACGCCAGCTTTTCCAGGCTCTTTGGGGTCAGCCAGGGCTCAGGATGCTGCTGGGGTGCTGTTTCCAATCCCATCAATGGGCCTGACCAAGGCAAACCCATTTTGACTGACTTGAGGGTCCTTAAGTCAGTTTTCTAGAGACTGGCTTTGCTTCTACTGTGATTGACTTTTTTTAATATTTTTTGGACTGCGTTGGGTCTTCGCTGCTGCGGGTGGGCTTTCTCTAGTTGTGGCGAGAGAGGGCTACTCTTCGTTGCCATGCGCAGGCTTCTCATTGCGGTGGCTTCTCTTGTTGCGGAGCACGGGCTCTAGAGCGCAGGCTCAGTAGATGTGGTGCATGGGCTTAGTTGCTCCACGGCAAGTGGGATCTTCCCGGACCAGGGCTTGAACCCGTGTCCCCCGCATTGGCAGGTGGATTCTTAACCACTGCACCACCAGGGAAGTCCTACTGTGACTAACTTTAAATTACAGTGTTTGCAATGGCATTGCCCTGAATGGATCTCGACATGCCAGGTTATTTTTTAAAAGAAGATGAATTTTGTCAAGTGTAACGTATAGCCGTGTGCAACGGGAGGTAGGGAATGTGTTGGTGGGAGAGGGAAGAATCCAGAATGTATTTTCTGAATAGCATTTGTGTGATGGGCTCTCTGGGTGGGGTGAGGTCATTTTCTCATCTTCGTGGTTTTCATGAAGAGGCGATGACTCCTTCAGGAGGGTTGTGGTGTTTCGCCAGCCGCCCATGGTCAGAGTGGTGAGGGGGCTGAAGCTGGAGATTGTTGGGGCAGTGGTGGGCTCTGGCCTTCTCTGACCGCTAGAGAGTGGTCTTGCTTATCAGGGAGTGAGGACCCCACATTGGAGACAGGGATCCCCAGAGCAGGGGTCCTTGGCGTGGGCCTTCGAATGGTCTGGGTTGATCCCACACCGGGTTTATAACATGGTAGTGTCCCTACTTGGGTTTTTCATGCTCACCCAAAGCAAGGCCATGGTTCCCATCCATTTGGGAAGGATTTTTATTCCAGTGGGAGGGTGAAATCTATAGGGGGTCTGTGGGCTTTAGCAGATGGTCCCAAGACCTGGGTCAACACTGGGTCAGTGAGTCCCAGGACCCCAGGACCAGCCTCCAGCAGCGCCCTTCTCGCTAGAGGTCATGTCCAGTAGAACAAACGAGGGGGCTTGGGTTTCGCACCATCCTGTCACTGTGATGCAGTCATCGCATTACAGGAGGTGGATCTGTCCAAGGAAATTGGAATCTAAGCAACCAGTTTTCAGACTGAGCACCTGCTTGTGCTCAGCCCCCACTGGTGCCGTGGGCTGAGAACCTCACCAAATAAATATTAAATCCAGCCCTACCCTCAGGGACCTTCCATTCCAGATGGTAAAATCCCACTCAACAGCGTGCAGAGGCTGTCGTTTCACCATGGCAACCGAGCAGCTGAGACACAGTGTGGTCCTCAGCAGGTGGGAAATGCTGAGCTGAGGAGGGAGGTGCCCAGGACCCACAGGCTAATCCTGCTTGCACTCGGTAGCATTTTTACTTTTCAGGGCATGTCAGCATCTATTACTGTGATGCCACATCCCTTTGAAGCAGGATAGCTGAGAATTTAAAAGTAAGAAGATACCTAAGACCATAACAGCAGACAGGTGGCAGGACCAGGACTAGAACCCAGGTCCTCTGACCCCCCAGCGTGTCCCTTGAGCCAGGTAATGGTCTCTGGAGATACGAACAGGGTTGGGCAGGGAGAACTGGAGTGCTTGCTGGAAGAGAGGAGTTCCGAGGCCCATTTTGCAGGAGGTGAGGGAAGTGAATTGCCTGGAGGGAGGAGGCTGTTTTATTGAAGCTTTGGTGCTGAGACACCAAGGTGACAGGGTAATTAGCCAGTTACAAAGGAAGGCAGAGAATGGAAAGATGGGAGGGGAAGGGTCATGTTGAAGAGGACTTCAGGGGTAAAGATGTTTGCTACTGAAAGAGTCAAAAGTTCTAGAGTGAGACTCATGTGACGGACAGAGTCAGACCTGCTCTGGAAAATAAGTCCTGACAATTACAGCCACCCAGGCAGGCTGGGGTGTTTTAAGCCTTTTGCTCACGAAACCTGGCACTAGGGCTCATTCCCAGAGTTTGAAGCTTCCAAAATGTAAACGATTGTGTTTTTCTGTAACATAAAACAATTTTTTTGTTCCAAAAAGTCCAAATAAATTTCCTTTGCCCCTCGGTCTTTGTTTGCTGTCGCCTGTCCTGGAGGGGCTTCGGAAGAGCTGCTTGTGTGTGACAGGGCACCGCCTGGCTGGCCCCCGTCCATCCCTGGGGTCAGCTCTGCCCCGGCTTGGCCATAGCAGGCCGCCAGTTATTCAGGCTAAAGGATTCCCCCAAAGCTCAGAGCACATTCTGCACCAGTCTACAAATCATCCTTGAGAAAAACCAAGCACCACATTATTTAAAAAACAAAAACTAAAAAAGAACAACCACAACAAAACCACAAACAAAAAACATGCAACCCAATAACAGACCAGGTGCACAGACTCCAAAAGACAGGACTTTTCTGGTCGAGGGCACAGAGCACAGCCACTCACCTCCGTGGTGCAGTTTGGACCTGAGAGTTTCAACCCAAGCCCCAGAGAGGACCCAGGGGGCTGGCCCATCGAAGGCAGTCACTTCCATGGGTGATTTCAAGGGCCCCCTTCCCCCCCACAAAAAAAATTGCTCATGGCTCTGGAGAGTTTAATGAGATAATGACCTAGCAGTGTCTGGCTTAGAGTAGATTTAAGTGAATCTCCTTCTTGTCACATCACAATTAGCAGCAGGCTTTAAATGTCAGTGATCTGGGACCAGGGAGCAAACGGGTGCAAATTCACCTCCAGTGAAGAGGACAGCTGCCCATCCTTTCCTGGGTGGGGAGGGGCAGGGAGATCAAGCTCCTGACAGAGGGGAGACTGCAGAAGGGGGGCAGTCAGATGTGGCCAGAGCAGCCTAAGTGGGTCACTTGGCAGCTTTGGGGGGAAGTGTCTGGCTTCTTCAGGCCAGAAACCCAAGGCAAACCAACTTAAATAGAAAAGAGAGAATTTTTTGGCCCATGTTTCTGAGAAGTCCAGGCCACGGTCCATCTCTTACAACATTTTCCTTTCAGTCATCCCCAGGGACCTGGAAGGTGCTGATGCCATGATCCACCCCAGTCCCTGCCCGCCTGAGGTGCGGAACAGGGGCTGGGACCGTCTGAGCCCTCTCATTTCTGAGCAGACACAGCCTGAGAAGCCCCCGCCCACCTCCACCTGCCGGCTTGGGAAAGCAGCCCCCAGTAGCACGGTCTCGGGCAGGGGTGCCATTCGCTCCTCTGTGAGGCGACTCCCAGGGTCAGAGTGGAAGGGTGTGTTTTTCAAGCTGTACTTCGAGATCCTTTTCCCTCCTCAGGCATCCTGTCGTGCTCCCCTGAGGCAGCAGCTCACAACTGCCAAGCACCTGGCAGAGTCTTGGGGCAGCTTCTGGTCACATTCAACCTCCAAAGGCAAGACTTCGGCTGAGTCTAGTGAGAAAAACCTCAGATCAACCCAGGAGGACGTTTCTGAAGACCCCATCCCAGCAGTTTTCTGCACAACAGCACACAACCAAAATATTACACCCTATTTTTCCAAAAGGAATTTCCAGCCATTTACTTCAGGCTTTAACAGCAGGACCTGAGTCGGGTGAAGCCTGACCACACAAATCCACCTGGGTTAAGTTCACCAGTGGGGTGCTTAACCATCAAGGTTCAGGCTAAGGTTAAGCAACTTAACCTCTCTTAGCCTCAGTGAATTATCTGTACAACGAGAGTATAATAGCACTGTCCGCATAGGTGTTTTTAGAAGATTAGGTGGTAAAATGGTTGGGAAGCTATAAACCAGTGACTGATACACAGAAAGCACTCGATAACTTATGTTGTCGTTATTAGTATTAATGAGTCAGAGAAGCAAAAGGAATGAGGATTGATGTAGCAGACGTGTTTGATACCCTCGGCCCACCTCTGAGATCAGTGCAGCTGAGCCCTGCACACCACTCCCGCATCACTCCACGTTGAAGCCTTAGGGAGCGCTCTCAGCCCACACGGGTCAGCCCAAAAGTGAGGGAGAGTGAAGACCCCGGAGAAGCAAGTCCCAACCAGTGGAGGTGGGGGCCAGCCTCCCACCCTCCACAGAGGCAGTTCTGAGGTGCCTTCTACCCAGACTGAGCTCCAGGTGCCCACACCAGTCACCACATCACTAAAGCGCTCTCAGTGGCTTTTCCTCCTTCCACGTCTCACTCTCCCCGCTCTTCACTCTTGCCTCCCCAGGTCACCTCCCAAATCTACCTCCTGCACCAGAACCCTTGTCTCAGGTCCTGCTTTTGGAGGAACTCCAAGGAAGACAATTGCAGAGCAAATAGAGTGGTTTTGGATGCTGGGAGAACTGTGAAGCAAGGTTCCAGAGAGGCGCAGGAACCACACAGCCACACTCAGGGAACCCTGGGCCATCCCGGGGCACAAGGCTAAGAGAGGGGTCCTCAGGAAGAAAGGAATCCACTCCAGGAAAGCTTGACTTGGGAAAGAGGTCAAGGACAGGAAGGGGATTCTACTAAGATGGAAGAATTACAAGATAGGAAAGAGGGAAGGGGGGAGGGAGGGAAGGAAGGAAGGAAAGGTGGAAGAAAGGAAGGAAAAGAATGAGGGAGGGAGGCAGGGAGGGGGAAAGGGGGCAGGAAGGAAAAAGGAGATGAATGAAAAGAGGAGAAATAAGGAATTCCCTGGTGGTCCAGTGGTTAGGGCTCTGTGCTTCCACCAGAGGGGGCACGGGTTCGATCCTTAGTCAGGGAACTAAGATTCCACATGCCGAGCTGGGTGGCCGAAAAAAAAAAAAAAAAAGAGGAGAAATATATATGAGGTTAAACATCACCTGTCTTAGTGAGTCCGGGATACTATAACTAAATACCATAGTCTGGGTGGCTTAAAAATAACAGAAATTTATTTCTCACAGTTCTGGAGGCTGGAAGTCCAAGATCGAGGTGCCAACAGATTTTGTTGTGGACCAAATTTGTTTGTTTGGTGAGGACCCACTCTCTGGTTCATAGACCGTATCTTTCACCGTGTCCTCACATGGCGGAAGGGGCGAGGGGGTTCTCTGGGGTCTCTTATAAGGGCACTGACCCCATTTAGGAACTGTCATGACCTAATCACC